AAGCTATGAAAATGCTGCTTTTCAAGCCACAGGTACAGATGGCTTGCCAAACCAGATATTTCTTTGCGAACTTTGACAGTTTCATGTGCTTGAAAACATCTGCTACCTTTCCCCTTCCTTTTGCCGTATAAAACTCCTGTCCCGGAAGCTGCTTGTAGTCGGCTTTGACGTAGGTTTAGTCGTCCATTACCACGCAGTCAAACTTCGTCAGCATCGTCGTGTACAGCCTCCGGGATCGCGCTTTGGCCGTCGTATTTTGTTTATCATCGCGATTTGGAGTCACTACCTTCTTGTAAGTCGATAGTCCGGCTCGTTTTTTGGCTCGATGCACGGTTGTAGACGATACACCCAGCTTATTTGCGGCATCTCGGAGAGAGAGGTTAAGGTTTCGCTTGAAACTACCGGCAACTCTCTTTGTCGTCTCAGCGGCTTCCGGTTTTCGATTTCCCCCCGATCCAGACTTCCTGGCTGTCGACAAACGTTCCCCAAACACTTTAATTACATTTGTAACGGTTGATTTGGCAACTTTTAGCGATTTTGCCAACTTTGCGTGCGAGTAGCTCGGATTTTCGCGATGCGCGAGCAAAATTTTGATACGCTGCTCTTCTTGCTTGGACGGCATTTTGACAACTGAAGAGTGAATTCCAAAATCAAAATAGGAGCAACATTCTACACACACACACCTTCAAAATGAGGGGTGTTCAGGTTTTTTAAATGCAAAATTGAAAGAAATACGTCAAGTTGATATTGACCAAATTTTGACCGTATCACCCTTTAGATATCACTGAAGTTTTTAGCTATCCTAAAAATGAACCCTAAAGTTCTTGACGCCTTATCAACAACATATGCAATGTGTTGCTTGAATGAAAGCTGCGAATCCAAGATCATACAAAACTCTTTCACCTGATTCACGCGTTCGATTGTCGAGCCAAGCAGGTCATAGCTAAATATTATCAGTTGTTGTTTTCGTGAGAACGTTATAGCGGAGCATTTGGCTGGGTTCACTACCATTCTGTTTAACCTGCACCAACTAGCGAATACATTCAGTTGACGTTGAAGAAAGTGACAGTCAGCAATGGAGCAGATTCGTAGGAAGATTTTGAGGTCATCTGCATATGATAACCGAGGAGCTTCGATGACCAGATGCACGTCGTTGAAGTACAGTATAAAAATTAACGGTCCCATGTGGCTTCCCTGAGGTATACCTGATGTGGCGAAGAAGCTAGCTGATCTGCAATCTCCTATGGTAACCTTTAGTTGCCGACCGGTAAGATATGATCGAAACCAACTCAGTTTGATTTGGTCGGAGCACTTCATTTATATTTGAGAATATTGGGTGCAAACATTCATATCACGCGTTCTTATTGACTTCGTTCGGTAGCATTTGAACTAAAGTATCGTACCAAACGCATAATTGACCTGTTAACGCCGAAATCATGGATTTATTTGATGTTGTCTCCTTGATAGGCCCAAAATGGGCGCTTAGGCCGAAGTAGTTCCTACCCTACTTACAGACATTGATCCATTAATAAATAGTTGGCCGTTCAACCTTCTTTTGTCTATTTTCATTACCCATTATTGTTCTCTGAAAGGTGCTATACTCAATGAACATAAGCTTGTCAGATAATTAAGCAATCAAAAGCACACGATTATGAAATAAAATGTGCAAATCCTCATAAGTATGTACGAACATCTGATTGGATTGTCCACTACCAACAGCACGTGGTGATGTAGACCTAATTATAAGTGAATACAATCCCACGACATATAGAAGAACTCTCCATTACTACCACTATACCTGCAATTTTGTATGCCCACCGTCGCGTCACCAGACATGGATGACTGCCTCGCCAAACGTCCGAAACCTGTTAGTGTGTGTTGTTTTATGCTATTTTGTTTCAGTACCAAGTTGGGCGACGATGGAAATAGGTAGAAAGCCGGTTATCTACGACGGTGCGCTACTTCAAAGCGTGCGATAGCGTAATAAGTGATACGCATCATTTATCTAATCCTAAAGAGTCGCTAACAGTGACGTTCAAAGTGTAGGTTGAAATTTGAGTAGTGAAAAAGGTTTAGAAAAGTCCTGTTGTTGACAAAGTTCATATTTTAATGTTTTTGCACATTGATCGATTCTTTTTATTGACTATTTTCTCGATTACCATCAAACGTCAATTTGCCGAAACTCTTAGCACTTCCACGCAAACTAACAGCACCATTTTGTTGGGGAAACATTATCCTTTCTGATGGTGGTTCAAGTTTGCGTGAGAGTGCTAAGAGTTTCGACAAATTGACATTTGAATCTTTTTTTTTATATAAACAGATACATACGTCCCTTTGCAAAAGTAATCGAGATTCATTCCGTTGATAACTTGGCAACGAAAACGTTTCCTGTCGTTGTGTTATATTAGTGTATCGAACATATTCGAAAATATTTTTAGTAGGTCGTGACGATCCAAAGAGAAAGTAGATGAAGAGAATTGATCAATGTACTAAGGACGGTTTGCAAAGTTTTGTGAGATATATTTACATTCATTAGGTACAAGAAGCTCATCCTGAAGAAAAAGTAATATTGCCAAGGAAATGTGACGAGTGTTGTGTTGAACTTTCACTTTGTAGTGATTCATTTAAATTTAGTGGTCGAAATGCACGTTTTCGATTGTGACCGGGTGGAGTCGGATACTACTTTTGTAACACAAGGAAATAATGAAGCTACGGTGGATGCTGTGCAAAAGACTGAGCTGATCAATTTAACAAAGAAGTTCAACAGAACAAGTGCGCAGGATGACGCAAAGTCAATTGAACGGTTCGAACGAGCACTGCTGAAAAAGTTGCAAACAAGTCTAACGGGAATTCCACCACCTCCATGCGTAACAGACTGTCACATGGATGCCAGTCAGATTTTAACACAGTACAAACAGAACGAAGATCGTTTGTCGCATCACACAGATCAAGTTGTGGGAAAGAAGTTCGCGGAGTGCTTAAGCAAACCTACTCATTCGCTGCAAGATATTCATGAACTTCAATGGCCGAATCTGCTGACAGTCAGGGCGCATGGACTCAGCTATAATCATTCCAGCGTAACCGAGAACATCGAAATGCTTGGACTTAGATACGTAGATCGCTTCATAGGGTCGGAGACCAGTTCTACATTCAACGCACCACAATCACCTTCCAGCGTGGAAAAACGAATTTTCCGAAGGAAATTGGTTAATGAATCCCTTGCAAGCCGCGTCAGTCACTTGGCCCATCGACGATCAGTTTTTTCATTGGACAATCTCCGCAATGGCGCAATCACTTTCAATTCCAATGCGATCGGTACATCCAGTGAGCTTCGTTTGCGTCGTAGGGAAATCTCTCCCGATCTGAAGAAATTGGATAGTTGCAAAATAATACGATCCATCGACAAAGAGAATGACGAGAAATTGATTCACCCGGGAAAGCTACCTCGAAAGGATTTAATTAAGGAAGAACAGGGAAAACTTCAATCGTTGAAAAACTCGAAAATAATGTGTTCAAACTTCATCAACCAACCGGTGACGACGTTAACGGAGGAGAACCATACGAAGAAACTACTCTGGGCTGTTTCACAGGCGTTGGGAGCCAAGCAAATTTCGGTGAAGCACGAAAACTTCAAACAGTTCGCTAAAAACCTGGCTCTGGTGGTGAAACGATTATTCACTGAGCTTGACGATCATTCCGTATCTAGCACCAGTGAAAAACTGTTAAGGTTAGCCAATAAGCACGTGTTGGAAGTGATCCAGGGCCACAACGTAGACGACATCTATCTAAAGACAATGGCGTCGAACCATCGAAGAACTCAACTCTCCGGGAGAACACCGACATCGAACTACGACACAATTTGTAACAACAAGAATGTCTTTCTCCGGAAAAAAGGCTACAATGAAGGATAACCGAAATAAGTTCCTGCAGTCGAAAAGGCAGATTTTATTTCAGGTTTAATTTGTACAGGTAATTGGAAAATATACTATTTGGTAATATACTATTTCTAGAGTCGAGTAAGGTTGACGGGCTTCGTTCTTGGTTTTGGCCCATTCCATCACAGCTTTTGCTTCTCTTTCTTCTCTCCTCGATCTTCCGATTTGATTTTTGGTATAAGCAGCTCACTGTTCTCACTCATTTCCCCGAGACCGTGGCGTCCCATGACACGCTCAAAGTCCGTGTTTTCGGAACTGACCGATCCAGTCGCCGGTTTAGCGTATAACATTGGATTATGGTAAGGTTCCGAACCCGTGTTGTGAATCTGGCTACGATTATCCTCTCAATAATAGGCTCCCACTTGCTGAGCCTGAACGCTAAGCAAGAAACCAGCTCCACAGTGCCTGGGTTTGGGGTGTCACGCACATGCTAGGTTATAGACTCATCATTTTGTAGTATATGTACAGTCATTCGAACGACAAGCACACCATTGGGTCTTTGAATCCATATTGCCTCTACCAATACCTAGTAGCAGTTATTTTCTTCCTCGTTGCGATTCCTTTTCTTCCGCCACACCGTCATCGATGAAAGGAAAAGTAATATCCGTTGAAGGAGAAAACCCCTTCAGCAGACGTAATTATCATTAAATGAAAATCAAAACTGATGACCGCATACCCACGCCGTGTCCGAAGTGGGGGATTATTAATTTTTCACGTACCTGGGGTTTTTTCTTCATTAAAAGTTAACTTGGGTGCTTCAGTACTAAATCGGTTGATATTAAAGTATACTATCGGATGAAATTTGAATTATTCAAATAATGATTTTCCATACCAACTTTAGGAGACAGCTCGGAAGAGACAAGGCTCTCCATATAAAAACGCGCCAACATTTTTTTGCCGATAGAATATTTTAAAATCAACCGATTTAGGAATGTAAGCACCCAAACTAGCTTTCGGTGAAGAAAAACCACATGAAAGTTGAATAATCCGCCACTTCTGACACGGCGTGATACCTCTAATTAGATTTTTAATTGTAACGATTCGTTCTTATTGCTTTTGCAGAAGTTTTCCACACTACAAAAACGTGGGGGATATTGGGTTGGGAGCAGGTGTCGTTCCACTAATCGATACGGATCGACTCGACGACAGCAGTATAAAAACGTGACCAACAGCCACCTCCTTATACGTACGGAGGGGGACTGCACACGGTCGGTAGAACAAACGAGCAACACGTGGACGAACGTCGTTAAAGTATATAATTAATATATCGACACAACAGATGGAAGAGGGAATACATCAGCTGAGTGTTACGAGTGAGTATTGTAGAATTGTTGAATTATATTATTAAAAAAATGTATTTTAACGAACAATGTCCGCGTCGAAATCATTTCATTGACCTCCAGTCGAGTACGCCTCCTTACGCACCAATGGTTTCCTCAAACCGAACCCTTACGTGGAGATTTCAATCGACAATAAAAGCACCCGCAAGACCGATTTCCTAAAGAACACCAACGCACCCAAATGGAACGAGCGCTTCACCGTGATCGTGTCGGCCAATTCGTTGCTACACTTTCGGGTGCTGGATCACTCCAGCTTCCGGAAGGACTCAGTTCTTGGTCAACAGACGGTCTATCTGGCCAACATTCTGGAACACTACAATGGTGTGTTGGAGAATCTGGAACTCAGCATGGACCTGCTGTCGGACGGGTCCAGTTCGAAAGTGAACGAACCGCGACAGCCATCGAAAACCGGTGAACTGGTAGCAGTGCTAAATGGGCTGAAGATAGATATGCGAACGGTGCCACTGCGGCCGGGCAGCAGTGGTGCTGTAGGGCTAAACACCAGTGGTAGTGGCAGCAGTCACAGCAATGACGTAGCAGCAGTAGCACTCATCAACGGCAATGGGGTAAGTGTAGTGTAAGGGTGTATGTTATTTTCTTGTCACGCTTACATGAATGAGTGTTGACCTTCGGGAGAAAGAGTGTGTGCTGGGTGTGAGGTGCGTTTAGTACATGTTGATCAACTCAATATATATCAACTTTATATTATATGAATTCATGTATGAGGTATGAGGAAACTTTCAGCAATTCATTACCGTTTAATACAAAAAAGTACGAACATTGGAGAAGGTAAATTTCGCACTAGAAGTTCTTGCATGAAGAAACGTACAACATACAACCACTTAACGCCCCCATGATACTGATAGCACCAAAGCACAGCAAACTATTTTCGCGTGGGAAAATCAATAGCATTTATAGAGTGTTGTTTGTTCATTATTCATACCTTGTACCCTTACCATCTTTCTTCCCCCGATAAAAAAAAAACAGCTATCTTCAGCACTGGACATGGTCGGCACCAGTAGTGGGTCTAACAGCTACCGAAGTAGTATCCTAAATGGTGGTATCCGTGCACGCATGCGACTCCGTGGATCTTCGTCACAGTCTCAATCGTCACAGCTGCAACCCCCTTCCAGTGGCCCCGGAAGTATTCAATCGTCGTCTACACAGTACCCAGTACAACCCCATCATTCCCCTTTGGCCGGCAACAGTCACGGTAATATCAATAGCTTGGGTGATTGTGTATCGGTTAACAGTGCTGCGGCAAATTTCAACGATCTAAGCATACATTCCACTGGATCGGCATCGCCTTCGGCGTGCACAATGGGTAACGGTGTTGCGATGCCAATGGTCGGAGGAGCTTCTCCGATGGGTCCCGGAGCATCAACCGGTGCTGTCCGCCGGAGTAGTGGGATAAATTGGGATCAACAGCAACAACAGGAACAAGCTCAGACGATGCATTCAATGGCAACTGGACATCCGCGTCTTGGTCCGGTGTATTCTAATTCATCGCAAGATTCATTGATTAATGGCGTTCCGAATGGTGCTAATCATGGTCAAGCGCAGCCGAGCATGAGTGGTGCATTGGTGCCTATGAACGGTGGTCCACAGCAAGTAGCGACAGCAGGAGCATCACCAGGTGCGTTGGTTCCCATCGGTGGAAGTCTAACCGATCAACAGATGCTGTTAGAAGCAGCAGCGGCGCAACAAAATCCAATTGATGACGAACCTCTTCCGGCGGGCTGGGAAATGCGAGTCGATAAATACGGTCGTCGGTACTATGTGGACCATAACACACGTTCTACGTATTGGGAAAAGCCACAACCACTGCCTGCAGGTTGGGAAATGCGGCGAGATGCACGAGGTCGAGTGTACTACGTAGATCATAACACTCGAACAACGACCTGGCAGCGGCCGAACAGCGAACGGCTAATGCACTTCCAACATTGGCAAGGCCAACGCCAACACATCATATCACAGGGTAATCAAAGGTTCCTATATCCTCAGCATGCTCAACAATCGAACACGACATCCGTGCAAGAGGATGATGATGGCCTAGGAACACTTCCTGATGGTTGGGAAAAACGGGTTCAACCGGATAATCGTGTATACTTTGTGAATCACAAAAATCGAACAACGCAATGGGAAGATCCCCGAACTCAAGGTCAAGAAGTAAACATGCTTGCCGAAGGACCGCTGCCGCCGGGATGGGAGATCCGATACACAGCAAGCGGGGAGCGGTTCTTTGTAGATCATAACAATCGAAAAACTACATTTGAAGACCCACGGCCTGGTGCACCGAAGGGTGGAAAAGGTGTCTACGGAGTTCCACGAGCCTACGAACGGTCCTTCCGATGGAAGCTCAGTCAATTCCGGTACCTGTGTCAAAGTAATGCCCTCGCATCTCATATCAAGATTACTCTCACCCGTCAAACTTTGTTTGAAGACTCCTACCACCAAATAATGCGACTACCAGCTTACGAACTACGGCGACGGCTGTACATCATCTTCCGAGGGGAAGAAGGTTTGGATTACGGTGGCGTTTCGCGAGAATGGTTCTTCTTGCTATCGCATGAGGTGCTCAATCCAATGTACTGTCTGTTCGAGTATGCCAACAAAAACAACTACAGTCTACAAATCAATCCTGCCAGCTACGTCAATCCAGATCACTTGCAGTATTTTAAATTTATTGGCCGATTTATCGCGATGGCTCTGTACCATGGGCGGTTTATCTACTCTGGCTTTACGATGCCGTTCTACAAGCGAATGCTGAACAAGAAGCTAACTACCAAAGATATCGAAACGATTGACCCGGAGTTTTACAATTCGCTCATCTGGGTGCGGGATAACAATATCGACGAGTGTGGCTTGGAGTTGTGGTTCAGTGTGGACTTCGAGGTGCTGGGGCAGATTATTCATCACGAGTTGAAAGAGGAAGGCGATAAGGAACGAGTAACGGAGGAAAATAAGGAGGAGTACATTTCACTCATGACCGAATGGCGAATGACGAGGTAGATTATTGTGTAACTGAATGGAAAAAAAGGTCATCATTAAATTTTCCCATTCAATTTTCAGAGGTATTGAAGAGCAAACCAAAACCTTTTTGGACGGTTTCAACGAGGTGGTGCCTTTGGAGTGGCTGAAGTACTTTGACGAGCGGGAGCTGGAACTGATGCTTTGCGGTATGCAGGAGATCGACGTCGACGATTGGCAGCGGAATTCGATCTACCGGCATTACAATCGTAACAGCAAGCAGATGGTGTGGTTCTGGCAGGTTAGTATCGACAAACGGAATCGTCTAACAAATGATCGGGGAGATGTGTTGGAAACATAATTGGAAGAAGATTGATGGCAATTCCGTTAAGAATTTGGAAATGTTGAGCTTGAGGCATTTAAAACCAAGCAATTTAGGGAGAACTTCTCAAAGGATTCCAAAGATATTGTTTTAGATATAAGTATAAGTAGTTCAATGAATTTCTAGAATCTCAAGATTCTAAAAGTAAATCTTTGATAATTTCTTGAGCAAATGTAGGGACATCCCCCCATCCTCTGGTCGCCTTACTTAAATATTCACGCATACATGGCAGCAAAGCTAACAATTGATTCTTCTACAGTTTGTACGAGAAACTGACAACGAAAAGCGCGCCCGACTGCTACAGTTTGTGACGGGAACGTGTCGGGTGCCGGTCGGTGGATTCGCCGAACTGATGGGCTCGAACGGTCCCCAGCGGTTCTGCATCGAAAAGGTCGGCAAGGACACGTGGCTCCCCCGGTCACACACGTGCTTCAACCGGTTGGATTTACCGCCGTATAAGAGCTACGATCAGCTGGTCGAGAAGCTAAACTACGCAATCGAAGAAACGGAAGGCTTTGGGCAGGAGTAAAAGCGCTCATTCCTGGCATGCTGGCGGTGGGATACAACTTTGAGTGGAAATGTGAAACGACAGAAATATCTGCGGTGATAGAAAATTCGCAATTTGAATTGATTAGAACAAAGCGGTATTTTTCTGCTTTTATGTGGAAAGTTGTTATGTTCTCGGTTGGTTGTATATTGTGATTTTATCCAATTTAGCGTATTATTTTAGCCAGACATTTTTTTTACAACCGAATTCTTTATTTGGATGCGGAAATAACCGGCATTAATCAATGGACTACATTGAAATTTGTAAATAACCCAAACCTTAGAAAACGAACCCGGAGCAATCCGTTTAGTTTTTCCCTTGTTCCAAAAAAAAAATCGTGATACATAAAAAGAGAAGTGAAGAAAATAATGTAATATATCTTATTAAACTTTTGTAAATAAAACAAAGCAACTAGGCCTAGCTAAATTAGACAAAAGTTAGACGAAATAAACGTCACTTCAGCAAAGGAATAAAAAAAAAAAACATTCACAATAAAACTTGTTGTCTATGATAATGATGAAAAACGTACTAGTAAAAAATAGCTATTCCACTAGCGCAACTTCACTGGAAGTTCGATTTTACCAATCAATAAAGAAAACCACCCACAAAACAATAGATTTCAACCCGCAACTTTTCTTACCCTCGGTTTGACTTATTATGCGCATCATAATAGTATCATTTTCACTTAAAGGAAAAACAAATATGAAAGGACAACGTCGGGGCCATGTTAGAAATTACCAAATTGTTGAATAACGTAAAAAGAACTGTCTGTAACTGCTGTCTAGTAAATTGGAAAAGAGAAAATTTCATACATTTTGTCTGAGTACCTAATCGTTATTTTTTACTATGCATCCTGAAACCGACATCTTTTATAGCTACTTGATATATGAATCCGATAGGGAAAAAAACTAATAAATTGATTGATGGCGTGGTACCAGCAATTGCAACAATAAAACAATTTTATTCAAACCGGTGATACGACAGTATGAAGTAAAATTTTATATCATTATTGTGCATTTCGCACTTTCATAGACTCCTGGCGCTAAAATGATTACACAGTAATGTTTTCGCACTGGCCAAAATATTTAAAAGTTGGCCTCATCAAAGGGTTATGCAGCCTCGAGTACGTTAGTGTGGCTTACAGTTGCTGCCACTTTCAAATATGTCGGTATATAGATTTTCTGACATTTTCGAAAAAAAATACTGTGCCAGTTTGTTTACCGATCAGAAGTCTAAAACAGTGCAAAATGCGCAATTCTAGGTTGGGTTCTATTGGCGAAGCTTTTAGGAGTTTTTCAATTTTTATGATAGTGATGTAAAATCTTCGTTGATAGTTTTGTTTAAACGGCAAGTTTTGTATTATATTCTTTCTATATATGGATTTTTTTAGTGTAAATATTTGATATTCTAAACAGAACGATTTCCCCAATGAAATAAATTATGTTTTTTTCTGTTTTACAAATAAAGAACAATATCAGCAAAAAGATCTTTAACCGATGTCCGATGGTTTCATTCTCAGTAAATATCACCTTTACAGTGGCGTCTCATATTTTTTTCAGTAAACAAAGATTAGGCAAACATATGTATACAATATTGACAATGCCGCCACAATCAGTTCGCTCTCAGCTGTTGTCGAAGGAAGACGGTAGCATCAGTTGTATCTCTTGGTGTCGATCATGCAATCACGCTGTATACTCCAAAAGGCTATTGTTGCGGTGCCCTTTGTTTATTGCCTGCAGCTCGATCGCTTTTGTCGTTGTCTTTTAGTGGCGTAGAAATAAAAAATACGCTCAATTTCGTGAAAGTACTGAGGCTTATTCCATAGTGCTGATACAAATGCAGTGGAAGCTGGTATAATGAGGAACAAGAGAAAGATTCCAATCACGACGGATGAAAATAATAGTAAAATAAATATTCCGAGTGTATTGAATCACTAGATTTGATTGTTTATTCAGGGTACGGGATATTCAAAATACTAATATAATAAAATCGAAACAAAACAATCAACTCAGTATCCCCGCTTAAGTTGAAGATCTTATCGGGATGGAAGTCTTAAAGTTAAGTTTAATGTGCTGTAATCGCTACGCAGTTTCTGTAGATACAACGTATACTCGTCTGATTTAACATAGCATAGACGAGTTAATTTGTTTATTAATTTATTTATTTGATAATGCTGAACCGAATTAACTTTACACAGCCGAGGATTCTTGTTCACTATACAATACATCTTATAACTATAGACCTTTTCGATGCTTAATCGTCTTTCTCTATCTATCGCACATGTATCACGGTGTATTTTCCCACTAATCTGTTTCCCTCTTACTCACACTCGTTGGATTTAAATGGTATAGTAGTGTGCGCCGATTAGACGTCGAAAAGCTCTATAATCAAAAGGTACAACACAATAAACATTTTATTTTCCGCAATCCAATGAGCCTCCTCCACCAGAACGGGAGCCGCTTCCAATGGTTTCATTGTATGGCAGATTCGCCAACGGGGAGCAGAGCGCTTCCATTGCAGCAATGGACGCAAAATGTGGTCAGCACTCACACATTCATCACGAAACGGTTGCTTTCCGAAGTCGACGACGCATCGACTGAAAGAACTGCTGATGAAGAACATTGAGGAGGACCACACAATGGTTGCTGCCGAGAAACACTGTAGACGAGTTAATGTTCCTGCTGATTCGGTATGAGCCAGGTAACCTGCGATTCTTTAGAGCAGTCATGGTACGTATTTCAGTTCAAGGCATGTTAGAAACCTGAAACAACTTATAAAAAATGATTACATGTATAACAATCAGAATGTTTACTTAAATAACAAGTCCTTCAGGGTAGTTATGCAAACTTCAGGAATTTATGCGAACTTTGAAAAACTTCAGGCAAATTCTGTGAACTCCAGGGAAATTCTACGAACTTCAGAGAAAGTTCTGCGAACATCAGGGATATCCTTAGAATTTTAGGAAAATTCTCGTGAATTTGAGGGAAAATTTAGCAAATTTAAGGAAAATCTATGATCTTCACGGGATTTCTAAGAACTTCAAGAAAGTTCTGTAAACATCAGAGCGATCCCATTTTCCTTTTATTTTCATCAGAGTCGTCCCCTCCAATCTTGCAATCTTGAACAATTTCTGAATCCTGGGCATAAATTAAAAGTTAGATATCGGGTTATAAAAGATTTTGTTCCTTTTATAACCCGATATCTAACTTTTAATTTATGCCCAGGATTCAGAAATTGCCCTGACTATAGAATACCATCCGTTATTATCCACTATTGGACCATTATTTTTATCAACCATTTCTTTGAATATTTTTAAAATATTTATACGGTTAGCAGGGTGGCCACTGGATTTTAAAAATAACATTTCCGGTTTTGCCCTGGTGCCCAACGTATTTTTCCCCGGTTTCAAACAGCTAAATATGCTAGAAAATAACGACATGGTTAATTTCAGCAACCACTAAATTTTCAATAATTTTAAAATGCATAAGGCTTAAAGATCACAGCTAATTGTTAAACTCAATTTTAGATAATATTTGGAAATCCGAAATTTGGAAGTCACAGAATATTACGAAATTTTTGTAAGTAACTTGTAAATTTTTCGAAGGGCACTAGGCTGAACACTATTGAGTCGAGTGGGTCATTGTACTGAATGTTATAAAGTGATCGATTGAACTATTTCCTATATAAATTCCCATGAGATTTACGGAATAATATTTGAGATCTTGGATTACGAAATTATTTGAAGATTACTTAAAAAACTTTCATGATTCTGAGGTAATGCCAGTTTTAAAAATTTTGAACTTTTCGAAATTTCAATCATGACGCATGGGCTTGGACAAAATTTGAGAATTCTGACACGTTGAAAAATTATTTAGAAAATTTTGATGAGAATTCCAAAGAATTTTTTTTTCAAATATTAGTTCCAGATTATTCTGCAAAGTATTTCAAAAACATTGTAAGGAGAACTAAAAATTAACCCTTTAACTGAATCGCTTTATGAAGAGCTTTGAGTGGGTTGGTTTATTTCCTTTAAATTCCGTTATAATTGCTTATATTTTGACAGAAACGCGTATTTCGTCTACTACTTGCAGACTTCATCAGTGCCAAGTTGAGTACTACCCCTAATGATCAACTACGGCCACCCTGAATTTCAGAATATCAGATATTTAAACATTTCAGAAATTTGATGACAAAGTCCACAAAGTTATACTGAGTTTAAGATCAGGCAAATTTCAAACGATACGGTTTGTGTTACATTCGGGCTAGTGACGTTCGGACTAAGTAGTGACATACGGGCAAATGTTATAGAATCGCGGCAGAATGATATGGCGGTCGAATATACGAAAATCAGAAATCAATTGATATTTTTCCGCTCTCATGCGCTCACAATATCACGCGTGATATTGGAACAAAATATCATGCTTGATATTTATTCTACAAGCTCCTTTGATATTGCGAGACTATTCACAACGTGCAAAAATCAAGCTGAGAGTTAACTCGACACAAAAATGATTCCATTGCACATCGTTTTTTTTAGAAAGAGAAAGCAAACTATCTCTTTTTAGTCTTCACCGATGGCAGACGCGAGGGACTGCTGCAAGCCGTTATGGAAGTTTCGGTTGCATTCGGGTGTAAAGCAAAAATCATTAAACTCAATCTCACCACAGTTTGGTGAGATTTGCAGTTGGTGAGTTTTGTTAGCTTGATATTCCGAGCTGCGATATCACAGCTTGCAAAATCAACCGCAGTGTTGGTGAGATTTGATTTTTTGATAATTTTCCAACACTGATAGGTACCATGGACATTTCGGACACTCAACAAAACCCAACCCGTTTTATTCCTGCATATTTTATTTCAGACGAAAACGTATTCTGCTTGAAGCAACTATGAAATTATAAATTATTAGAACTGGATAATATTCCAAGAGCTCGAATCATCGGCACCTAAATGCATCAGAAAAGTCTGAATAATCTGAACCGTTGCATTCCGGAACCAGTAGATAGCTTAGAACTGATCTTCACCTAAGGTGAACTCATCTGCTAGCCTGCGCAGTTTTGAAACTAGATCAGCGACCGACACTTCACCGTGAACCTTATTATCACGAGTGCGCACGTTGACCGTCTCCGAGCTACGTTCCTTTTCGCCGACAACTGTTGAATACAAAATTAAAATTCGTTTGAGATTCTCACACCAGTCTTCGACCTTGCAACCAATCTTACCCAAAATAAAGTTGTACTGCGCCAACTGTGCGTTTCGGATCTTCTTGTTCATGGTATCACCGGCGTCCAGATCGGCATCGGCCATGAAACCAGCATCGTGCAAGCGTAGACGAACCTTGTCGGCATACTCGTCGTACTGCGGTCCAACGGGAACCACCATAACCTGTCTCGGCGACAGCCAGAAGGGCCACTTTCCGGCGTAGCTCTCAGTCAAGATGGCGATCATACGTTCAACCGAACCAAGGATAGCCCGATGGATAATAACCGGACGCTTCTTCTCGCCGTTATCGTCAATGTAGTTTAGGTTGAATCGGATGGGTAACTGGAAGTCAAGCTGAATTGTAGCGCACTGGTGATTACGCTTCAGGGCATCCATAATTGTGATATCGATCTTCGGGCCGTAGAAAGCACCATCTCCGGGGTTCTCTTTCCATGGTTGACCAAACTTGTCCAGAGATTCGGCCAGAGCCTTTTCGGCTTCGTTCCATACTTCGACGTCACCAAGGTACTTCTCAGGGCGAGTGGACAGAACCAGGTTGAAGGTGAAACCGAAAATTCCGTACACATGTGCTAGGAATTCAAGACATCCGGTGATTTCCTGTCCGATCTGCTCGGGCATACAGAAGATATGGGCATCATCTTGCTGGAATCGACGCACACGTGTCAGTCCGGTCAGGGCTCCAGACAGTTCGTTACGATGCAGAACACCGAAATCAGCCATTCGCAGAGGCAACTCGCGCCAGGATCTGTTACGGTGATCGAATATCAGACAATGACCCGGGCAATTCATAGGCTTCAGAGCAAATGTTTCCTTTTCACTCTCAAAAGAGAACATATTCTCTGCATAGTGCTGCCAATGACCGGAAGTCTGCCACAGCTTAGAGTTGTAGATGTTAGGAGTGATCACCTCCTGGAATCCACGTTTGCGATATTCGGTACGAATGAAATTCATCAGCGAGTTGTAGATATGGGCTCCTTTCGGTTGGAAGAAGCACGAACCCGGAGAGAGTTCGTGGAAGAAGAACAGTTCCTGTTCCTTGCCCAACTTTCTATGATCACGCTTGGCGGCTTCCTCCTGAATCTTTTCCCATTCTTTCAGCTGTTTGGGCTCGGGAAAGGAAATGCCGTAAACACGTTGTAAAGATTCGGCGTCAGCCTTACCTTCCCAGTAGGTCGAAGAGTTTTTAACAACCTTCAATGCCTTCACCTTGCCGGTATGCCGGATGTGAGGTCCACGACACAAATCGATCAGCGGACCACATCGGTAGACGGTTGTGGTTTCGGTTGTAACCTTCTCGTTCAGAATACGACACTTAAACTCGTTGTACTCGAACATTTTCAACAAGTCAGACTTCTTCATTTCCAACCGTTCGAAGGGTTGCTTTTCCTTGACAATTTTCTTGACCTCGCTCTCCAGGGCACCGTAGTCTTGGTTGGAGATCTACAAGGCGAGAGGACAGTTTCGTTTTAGAACTTAGTTTAGTTGTCTAGTTATGCAATAGGAAATACTCACTCCACTTCCATCCAAGAACATATCGTAGTAGAATCCATTCTCTATTGGTGGACCATAGCAAAGGTGACCGGCGTAACGCTACAACAAAAATAAAACCAATTTACAAATCGCCCCACTGACCGAGGTAAAGTATCTTGTATTTAGATGACTAAGCACCTCGCATGATCTGCTTTACACGGGTGCACCCATCGATTGCGCTATCAAATTAAGTGCTTGCCATTTGGCGCTATCTACGGACACAGAAAGTTCGACCATCTGGCAGGTTGCAAATTTGTTTATCTTATCGTCTATAGTGGATGGACGACCGCAGATAATAGTATCCCATAAAAATGAAACGTTCTGCCAAAAAAATGTGTAGATTCAAACGTGAGCTAGACTAAAAATGGCGGATCAATCATCGGCATTTGCGAAACTCCCGGAATACATCCAGGGTGGCTTGAAGAAGGTAGCCTCGGAACAAGGATTCACAGATGGACTGTACCGGTTCGAGTTCGAAGATGGATCCAATAATGGCGACGGATACATGGGTGAGCTATTTAAGGTGTTCATCCGGGAAGCCGGTCGTGATGAGCTGGTGGTCCTGTGCAAGACGCTTCCAACGCACGAAATTCGCAAGCAGTATACCATTTCTTTGTTCCACCGAGAAGTCAAGGCTTACAAGGAAGTTCTACCAATGATTAGCAAATTTCAACAGGAGAAAGGCATTGAGGAGTACAATCCTGAAGGATTTTGGAACTTCCCCAAGAGCTACTATGCTTATTGCGATATGCAAAAACTGGAAGGTTTAATAATCATGGAGGATATGAGAGAGACACATTTCCAGATGTGGAACAAGCTGGAACCGGTGAATTATGATCATACGCATATGTTAGTGAAGCAACTTGGGAAAATGCACGCGATTTCGTTTGCATTAAAGGACCAGCAACCGGAAGCTTTCGAAAAATTCAAGCACTTCAGTGACCCACTGAGCCAACTGATTACGTTCGATCCGACGAAGGGCATGACAAGGATGATGAACGGAACATGTGAAAGGGCAATCCATGCCCTAGACGAAAGCGATGCGTTGTGTAGGACGAAGATGGAATCTGTCCGTGGAGTGGTTACTGACTTGTATCAGGAGGACGCAAAGGTAGACGAAGCTGAGCCTTATGCTGTGCTGGGTCATGGCGATTGCTGGATCAACAATATGTTATACAGCTATGGAAGCGATGTAAGTAGAATGTTTAAACCTCCATTCCATGGTAACATTTAAGAATGTGTATTTTCAGAGCATCACTCCAAAGGACATACGTTTAATCGACTGGCAACTGTGCCGTTATGGTTCACCCGTGCTAGACTTGATGTACTTCATATTCACGTCGACTGATGCAGCGCTTCGTGCCGAACACTACGAAGAACTGCTCCAGACGTACTACACATCTCTCGTGGACTATCTGAATCTCTTGGGCGGCGACGCGGAACGTCAATTCCCGGAGTCAGCGTTCCAGAAGCAACTGAAACGGTTCGGACGATTTGGCTTACTGATTAGCTTGCTGGTGCTACCGATCATCTGTACACCGAACGAAGAGGTGCCGGATATCGAAAAGCAAATGGAGCTGGCAAAGAAGGCCCAAGAGAGTGGAGGGGAAAATGTGGACGACAAAAATCTCTTCAGCAAGACTGAGGCAGCGGATGCAATGTTCCGAGACCGAATGCGGGGCTTGATCCAGGACGTTGTGCGATTGGGATATTTGTGAAGAGATGGAAAATGAGGTCATTAGTATTTGTGCTAGAATCCGTTATCGCAACTTTAAGTGTCGATTACATTTATAGAATTAAACGTTAAAGTACACTTGCACACAGTTTTGTTTGCTTGAACTAATTTAAAATAGATGTATAAGAAAATAGATTCAACATGGTGTTCAATATTTTTGTTTTGATTTTTTAATCATCGTAAAACACCAGTAAAAAAATATTAGGCTTCTAATTAATCAATGTATTGTTACTCATTGCCCTGAAAAAAATATATTGAAAACAGACCGAAACTTTGATTTTTATTTCGAAATCGAAATTCCAAAACTTGATCTTCATTGACAACCAGAAAGTGGGTACCAAAATCAATGTGAGGTAAATGGTTTATACATTGGATTTGATAGTAATAGCATGCTCCTGATTGAAAGTGTATCACGTTTAGTGTTTAAAAATGGCTAAAAACAAAATTAAAGTAAGTCCTCGATTTTGCAGAAAACATCCAAAATATTTTAAATAGATACGAATTGGAATTTATCGTTAACCACAATAATGGATTACTACTTGCCTTCTCCATCGCTTCGCCGAGAATATGCGCCGAACTGTGCCAGAACACGGCCTGCGCATCCGGATCGTCAAACTTCAGCAGCTGTAGCTTGCAGTCAACCTCCAGGGGACGGTCCAAATCCCACAGCTCGTTGTTCACGCGAGCGATGACCGTATTATCGGCCAGTCCCTGGCTGATACCCTTAGCCACATCGTACGGGGTCGATTCCCAGCTTGTCGCTTCGATCTCTTTACCATCCGGAAGGGTTACCTTGATTGGATTTTTTGGCTTCTTGGAAAGCTCGTCCAAATACTGCACCTTTAGTTCATCGTACAATTTGATACGATGATCGATGAATTCGGGAGCAGGCTTCTCTGCTGGAGCTGTAGATGAACCGCCGCTTCCTGGAAAACAAACAATGAGTCATTGATCAACAATGCATCATTTCAAACTTACCCTTTTCCTGTTGATTCTTCTGCTTCTCTTTCTTCATCTTACTTGCCTGAAAAACGGAAATGAAGCATTAGAAAATTTACCATGCTGCAAAAGAATCGAATGTGTAAACAAGATGAAAATGTTTCATCCATAATGCTAAGCAGTTTTATACAGAAAATGATGTAACAAAACAGTGAAAGGGAACCGAAGTGCTGACGTGCATGAATTTGGGAGCTCGCCCGCGGTCACACGAAATTAACACAAATTCCACTTGGACGAAGTCCACTTATAAAAAAAAATCTACTCTAAAAACGGATTAAGGCACTTTTGAACCTAAAAAACGGAACACTATCTTCCACGAACCAGTGTCGCAAATTGGCTCCGAGGCGGCTGAGTCGGATGCCGCAGCAGTTGCTGCTGCTGTTGTTGTTGGTACTGTTGCACTAGCAAGCTACTACTGCACAAATTCAAACGCAAATTAATAGTCCGATTGAGGCCGGCCACCAACGCCGATAGGCGCATTCTCCAGCACAATAGTTCGTTAGGTGAAATTTACTTAAAAATGTTACAAATTCATGCCTTTTGCTGGTTCAAATCCAGTTTTTTTAGCTCGGCGACGGGCACGTTGTCAGTCATTTTTTGCACAACACTACACAAGAAGGATCCAAGGGAAACTGTCAACGAGCTACAGATGACGTTTCAGGTTGAAAGCCGATAAAAAAAGGGGAGGGGGAAAATGATTTGTTTTGCTGCAGGGGTACGATGGGTGGTGGTCGGTGGACGGAATCGATGGAACGGAAGGAGTTTGAGATGAAAAACTGTAAAAGGTAGCGCAGGTTGCATCATTTAGGGAATTTCCTTGGAATTGGATTTGAAATTCCTCTTTATAGATTGTTAACAGATTGATTTTTTAAATGAGGTAGGTAAATTTAAAAATACGACAATTTGTTTTATTATACACGTAATCCATTTCATACTATCATCATATCTTATACTATTAGAATATAACGCACTTGAATGCACTGGCAAAGAAACATTTGTGCGACATACCTGCTTATTTGATTTGTTGTTCTTTCCCATACTTGCTTGAGACACTCCACAAATGATCTTTGATGTGTTTAGACACTTTTAGAGCAGTTTTAGCGCTCCAAAAAACTGAATTTGAAGTTCAATGATGTTTTGATACGTTTTCGTACTTTCAATGCGGCGAAATGTGGCTCGAAAGTGAAAGTTTTTCACAACATCAGTGTCAGTATAGAGAAAATATGAATGTTTTCCTCATGCGCAGTCGCGAATTTTAATGTTGATAAAACCTTGTCAACTGACCGTTTTTAGAGAGGGGTGTCGTTTTTTTTTTTTTTGAGAATACGACTTCGGTTTTAACATGACTGATTACATATTTCTAACTGCCATTGTGCAGATAGACTTCAACATCCTGAAACATATTTTTAATTTAACGGTTCAGAAATATGCACTTTTTGAAGTATTCACAACTTGGTCATATGCTTTATCCATTGGCGTAGCTAATGGGAGTGCCAGGGGGGCCAGGCCCCCTCCAGAATTATCTAGGCTTCCCTCCAGAATTATCTAGGCCCCCTCCAGATAAATTGTCTAGCTACGTCAATGGCTTTATCTGATCTGATTCAGTGGCGTCAAGTCGGACATTAACCACAAATATACCACAATACGATCATTTAGCCTTTCTTGATCTTACATAGATAGATCTATAGGGTTGCAATCCTATAGATCTTTCAATGTAAGACCGAAAAAGATGAAATAGTCGGCCAATCAAGTGCTTGAGTTGAAATGAGTTATTTCGAAAGATAAAGACGCAGCACCTCTTAGATTCCATTGAAACTTTGTGGGTGCAAAAAATCTACTACTTAAGCATCTTTGCATGCTTGTTTTCCTTGGAAAAAATCTAGAATACCATTTGAAATGGGCTGAAGTGCTCAGCAATGTTAACAATATATTTAGTGCCAACATTTCAAAGGGGCGTAATTACATTTGTAAACAATGGCTTTAAGCGTCGATTCCTCGCAAATAAAAGCTCACTCATGAATATTAATAACATCAACAGGTATAGGAATGTTTCCTATATCAGCTATCATTGTTAACATGGAGGAGTGAGCTTTTATTTGAGAGAAATCGACGGCTAAAGCCATTTTTTACAAAAGCAATTACGCCCCTTTGAAATGTTGGCATTGATATTTACTTCTAACACCAAGCCTGTTGGCCCAGACCTTATATAAACGTCATTGGATTGACTCAAGATAGCCGCTTCCGTTAATCTCTATAGGATTACTACACGAAACGAAAATCAATTGTTTTATTCATGTGTTTCACTTATACATTTTTGCCAAAACATCAGCCTTATACATTCCATAAGACAAACCACATAGGTCCTAAAAGAATGCATAAAAGGTATGTGTGATCGCTTATACATTTCATTTGACACATGGTCTTCATTAACTTTTTGCAAGGCGTCTGCTTATTAGTTGACTTATACATTTTATGAAAAATCAGCAATAGAAATTTGCCAAAAGGTATAAGGAGATTTCTATCCGTGTAGATGCATGGAGTTAAACATTTCACTAACACAAATAAGTCCTTTGGCTTAGAGCTTGTATAAAGGACATTGGAGTCAACTGAGCAGCGAGAACCGTCAAAATGTGCGCCAAACGAGCATTCTGCTTAGAAAATATTCAGAAGATTTCTTATTGAGTTAAAAAGTATTGTAATCGAGGTGAAATAAATTCAAACAAAACGTTTATTAATAACAACAAAATTTAAAAAAAACACATTATAGCAGTAACATGCATATGTTAACAAGAGTAATTTGTTTTGTTTACAAAAGCTGCCAACACTTACCGCGGAGCATGAAGTGCCAGCTTTGTGCGTGAACCATTTGTAGATTCTATCACCCTTCTCCTTTGATACAGTATAATTTAAAAGCATGATCACCCGAATAACTTCCTGGCACCATCCGCAACCTTTTTCTTCCGAACGGTTGGTCATTCCGTGGAAAAGGTGTACAAGCAAACGCAGGTTGGTTACTTTATTTGTACAGGCTGGCTCAATGGAATAAACTTTACAGAGCCAAGTTATCATTTCCGTTATACATTATTAATGTCTGAAATCTACAGCTAAAGGAGTTTAGTGGATGACAATTTTATGGATGTGGAAGGTCGGTCTTCCTCTTCATTTTTCTAAATAATTGAAGAGCTGCATTCGCTGTTTTTCTCTGCTTTGGTTTTATGAAAAAAAAAACATACACACACAAAAACATCCTGCTAGAAATGACAGATCACTGCTTTAATTCAGCATTATAGAAAACGTACAAGCATTACAAGATCACATATAACGAAACTTCTTGGGGCTTAAGTACACATATTGTTGTCAGATAGCGTAGACATGTTTTGCGTGACCTGTCATTTAAGTAGACAGGAATACTAAAAATACTAATCCAGCATTTTACGAGCGCTTATGGCCGCCACATTCTGGCTGAGTTTTTGGTAGGGAACATATGATTTGACGTTTGGGTTGTGTCGTTTGACGTGTAAACGTTCAAATTTGATCGTTTACACGTCAAACGACACAAGCCAAACTTCAAATCTTATGTTCCCTACCAGAAACTCAGCCAGATTGTGGCGGCCATAAGCGATCGCAAAATACTGGATACTGAATTCCAAGATATTTTATTGAAACCAATTCAGCAAATTGTTTGGGTGAAATTCAAAATCGAAATTGGGTGCATGCTTGGAATACACAGTTGTACACACCAATTGCTCATTTGTTAAAAACTTTTCACTCAGTTGTTGAAATTTGTTTTTCTTTAATGTACTTGATAGATTAGGATCATAGTTTACAATAGATATGCAAAGAGTAGGTAAATCTTAACATTTGAATCAACACCAATGATTTTTTACACTTAAAGTCCGAGATGTGCAGCGAGCATTTCTCACTTCATTTTTATTACGCAAAAATAAATACAGTTTATTACTAGAATTAAAATCTACTTTTTTTACATATCTATAACAAGCTTACACTCCATTCTATCTACTGCTTCAAAAAGAACTATGTTACGTCAACTGTGTGCAAAGTTATTAGCAAATGAGCATTTCGTGACCAAAACTGTGTATGCCAAGCATGAGACGATCAAATGTAAAATACTGTGGTAACCACAGCATAGTTCTGTCAAAACCTCAGCATTCTCATTGATCCATGCATAATTCATTATTCATCACTAAGATATTTTTTTTTTTTTTTTTTATTAATTACTTTATTTGTACAGGCTCAATCGAATAAACTTTACAGAGCCGAGTTATCATTTTCGTTATACATTATTTATGTCTTATATTTAAAGTTAAAGGAGCTGGACCGGATACTCGCGGTTGTCTCGAGGTTAGTGGAGATTTACAATTTTTTTGGATGGGAAAAGGGAGAGGGAGGTTTGAAATGTGGTTTACGATACAAATATTTAATTAATCCTAAAACATGAACTAATTTCTATTCATCTTGAAAACAAACATAAAAAAAAACCCCACACGTACAAAATACAAACTAAACACAAGGTTAATAAAACTTACAATCTAATGTTAATATTCTTAAAGTAAACATATATGAGTTTCATAAACTCCAGATCGCGTCTAGCCAAAATATCCCGAACTGGAACATTAGGTTGTCTACCTCGAGCCCGAAGGGAATCGTACAGTTCAGATCTGACTCCGCGATGCTCAGCACAAGACCAAATAATGTGATCTGCGTCCTGGTAACCTTGTCCACATTCACAGAGACTGCTGTCCTTCAGCCCAACACGGAACAAGTGAGCGTTTAACGAATAGTGATTGGACATGAGGCGAGACATCATACGAATGAAGTCTCGACCCACATCCAACCCCTTGAACCAAGGACTCTTCGACACCTTAGGGATGATCGAATATAGCCATCGTCCCAAACTCCCTTCACTCCACTTATTCTGCCAGCTGACGAGTGACTGTTGACGATAAATGAAGAAAAATTCATCGTAGGCGATTTGTCGATCGTAAATATCGCCTTCCATAGCGCCCACCTTAGCAAGTGAGTCAGCCATCTCATTGCCCGGAATCGAGCAATGAGATGGGACCCATGCAAAGGTGATGACAAAAGATCTTAAAGATAAAGCACTTAAAAGCTCTCGTATTTTCATGAGAAAATACGAGGAGTGCTTTACCGGCCTCATGGAGCGAATAGCCTCGACAGAACTGAGACTATCCGTAAAAATAAAATAGTGATCTGGTGGAAGTGAGGCGATCGTTTCTAGCGTATAGTATATTGCCGCCAGCTCAGCAACATATACGGAACAAGGAGCTTGAAGCATTCGAGAGGCGCTATGAAATTCGTTAAAAATACCAAAACCAGCGGACGACTCTATTAGTGATCCATCTGTGAAGAATGATCTTGCGGAATCAACTTGGCCAAACTTTGCAGCGTAAATTGACGGAACAATCATAGAACGATGATGTTCTGGGATCCCACGAATCTCCCGCGTCATGGATAAATCAAAACTAACTGAATTGCCGAAGTCGGAGAAGCATACACGATGAGGATTATGCTGTGAAGGGCTGACATCCAGTGTTATGTACACGTAGTACAATGACATAAAATGAGTTTGAGGGTTTAGC